CTTCCAGCTCAGACTCCTTGGTTCACTGTGCAACTGGCTGCTTGAAGAACCATAAAATTGGGGTGTCACCATTGCACAGTTTGGTGACTCTAAACATTTATCATGACACTGATTGTAAAAGTTTTCTAGCACACTGAATTTTTGGAATAAAAGTGGCCACTATATCTATATGCATGCCATATAGAAATTGTCAAGACAAATTAAAATTTCCCCATGTTCTTTTGGATATGTTCCTCCAGATTCATGGCCAGAAATTGTTAAAGTCTACCCTTCCCTAAACAAGTTTTGAATTCTTGTATTATGATTATGATTATGATTATGATTATTATTTTAGCTACTGAGGATTTCTCTTTCGCAGGGACCAAAAAGGGCCATATCTTATCATCCCCATACCACTCCATTATCTACTTGATGTATCTACCAAAACATTCTTTTTTTTTTAAATTTTTTTAACGTTTATTTATTTTTGAGACAGAGAGAGACAGAGTGCGAGTGGGGGAGGGGCAGAGAGAGAGGGAGACACAGAATCCGAAACAGGCTCCAGGCTCTGAGCCGTCAGCACAGAGCCTGATGCAGGGCTCGAACCCACGAACCGTGAGATCATGACCTGAGCCGAAGTCGGACGCTCAACTGACTGAGCCACCCAGGCGCCCCCAAAACATTCTTTAACCAGAAAAACATAATGCACTCCTGGATCTTCTCACATGTAGCAACTTTAGGGCTACTCTGAACAGGTTGATTAGTCTCATATGTAACAAAAAATAATACTGAATTCAATTGCACTAACTTTTCTTGCTAAGGAATATTTACTGAAAAGCTAAAATTTACTATTTGCCAATACATTTTAGTATAACCTCAATTTTTGGATAATATGTTCAATACATCTTTTTAAATCTCTGCTCAAGAAATAATAATACTTTTAAGTAGCTGTTAACAAATTAGAAATATAAATCTTCAAAATACAGTTGAAAAGTACAAATTATGTGACATTATCACTATATTATTCTAATTAAAATCATTTCATCAAAGAATACATAAAATTGTGAACAGGGAAATGGTAGATGTAGATATAGAGATATCTCCATTTGAAGAGATGATCCAAATTTACTTAGGTAAAAATGTGTCATCGTTGATAACATTAATTTTTATGCAACATAGAAATAGCAATTTTTCTATTCATCAAAAGTGATTCATCAAATATACTAAAATGTTTCTTTTAACTTAATTCATTAAAATTATTTTGCCCTAAATTAAGTTAATGGATCTTAAACTTTTTCCTCTCCTTTTTCCACTGTATTCATGGTTTTTAACCATAAGTTTAGACTGATAACTGAAAATTCAAATTTCCATGTTTTGGTTGATTCTCAAGGATAAAGACTGAAAACGTATTAGATAGATCAATGGGTAAAGCTTATAAAAAGTAAGACCACAAAAAATAAAACACAGTCAATATGCAATTATCTAATCAAGCCATTTGTGTGTGTGTGTGTGTGCATGTGTGTGCGCAAGACCTTTTTTCCTGTTCTTCTTCTATTCTTCAAGCAATTCTTCATTCTCTCAGGATTTTCCATAAAACACCCTGCTTTCTACTTTACTTTGCTGAACCTATGTCATGAATGCAGATCTTTAATACCTTTATTTAATTCAAGTTTATGGTCTGTTTCAGTTAGGTAGTTTTTTGTTGCAAGAAACTAAAAACCCAACATAGATTGACTGGAAAAAAACAACTGGGGAGGGCATGTATTGACTCATACATATGGCTAGTTCAGTAGATTTGCCTTCAGACAAAGCTTTAGGGTTCAAATTCTGTGAAAACAGTTTCCTCTCTTTCTCTCTCTCTCTTTCTCTCTCTCTCTTTGTTTCTCCCCCCGTTATTCATTTGTACCTCCCTTGTGTTGGCTCCATTTTCAGGTAGGCTATCTCCCAGGGTCTCACGAAGGTTACCAACTCTGGGCTACATGCTTTTTTGTTCAGCTATGGTGTTAAAGTGAGTCACTGCTCAAATAAATTCCAGATATTAGGTTTTGGCCCTATTTGACCAAGATCATCCTTGAATCAACCATCATAGTATGGTTGATGTGATATGCCAATAGACTTGAACTAATCAGGATCTATTTTTAGAGCTTGAGATGTGGTCAAACCTACTCAAACTATATTGCTGGGAAATGCTGGAAACAGTTCAAACAGGGCGAGGGCCAAATGGATGCTAAGAAAGCAAATATGATAGGCAAATTCCACCAGATGTTGTCTGGACTGTAGAGAATTGGTATATATAAAGGATTAAATGGGTAAGATGAATAATCAGTTGATTTGTATACATATTTTCAATGTACTCTTGCCTAACTTGTTGGTGAAGATTTTCCTACAGTAAGGCTCAAGACTAAGAAAATTCAACAGTAAGATATAATTATAATATGCTTTAAATTAATTTTTCATCTATAAACTGTAAGTTTTGTTCTTATTGCCCCCAAATAGAGCACTTCCTTCTGTAACCTTTTCATGTCCCATCCTTATACATATCATAATGAGCAACTAATGTATTTATATGTTTATGAGAAAACTTATATGTTAATTATCTTGACTGTATCATAAGTATTATTATCTAAAACATTGGGGGTAAAGGGTTGTTTTCCTACATTTAGGACTAATTTAAATTTAACAACTCAGTTTCCATCAGTATTTGGGAAATCTAAATGTAATCACTTGTATATTTAAAAAGATAATGAAAGTACCCATTATAACATGAAATATCTTCTTGATTTACATACATCTCTGTCTGAATTTTTCTAAAAAAACTATAATAGCTACTAAAAACAATAATAGCTACTATATCCATGAAGAAAACATGACATGGCATAATTCCTTAGAAAGTAGGCCTATCTTGTTGCTTTTTTTTTCTTTTGAGAGAGAGAAAGGACGTGTGAGTGGGGGAGGGGCAGAGAGAGGATCTGAAGCAGGCTCCACACTGCCAGCAGTGAGCCAGAAATGCTGGTCTCGAACTTACTAAACCCAAGATGGTGACCAGAGCCCCTGAGCCAAAGCTGGATGATCAACTGACTGATCCACCCAGGCACCCCTCTTGCTGCCTTTTTAATGGGAGTTGTAAACAGGTTTCAGTGTATATGTCAGCTTTTATAGCTATGGAGTGCCATTTTGCTTAGCTATGCCACTATGACACATGTATTTAACATATTATGGAGAAAACTGATACAATTCTTTGATAAGAAAGACACTTGCTAACATAACACTTTACACTATGCAAAAATACTGAGACATACATCATAATTTGATTCTCAGATCAACTTGAGATACTAGAAGGTTAGATATCCTTCTGTAGATGCAGGAATAGCTTCCAGCAGGGAGCTGATGGATAAGCAGTCAGTCATGGAGCCAGCATGTGGACTATCAGCTCACTCAGGGCAGGATGGTGGCAGGCATTAAGTGACTGCATTCCCACCCACCTTGCCTGATCCTTTACACACATACGCATGAAAGCATCTCCACAGTGCCCACACAGTGACCCTGTTTCCAAGGAGATTGAGGGCAGATTTGGGCTGAATAACATGCCTCCATCAATGGTTCCTAAGAGCTGCAGCAAGAATTCGAACTCCCATCATACATTGCCAGCTTCCAAAATGCTGTATAGTCAACTGAAGCACAGTGATAGTGGGATATCTTGGAGAGAAAGTGGGATTTAAGTTCGGAGGATATCTTCTCTTCTTATCACTTTCGGTGGCTATCCTTTCCAAATGAAGTGACTGGGTTTCAGAGATACTCATGCAACAATGACACCAAAAAAAGGGGGGGGGGGCAGGACGGTGGCTGGAACACATTAGGGGCTCTGAATCTTTATTAAATTAATCAATTGATTGATTGAATCTGGCCTTATATCTGGTCTTTTACAAGTCCAAGTGCTCCTTACAACTATTATAGTGTCTTTTACATATTTTAACAAATAGAGCCCATGATAAATTTGTAGGGTTCAGAATAAAAGACAATAAGAGCAAAACAAAACAAAAAGCTCCTCTAAGGCTTCTGAATTCCTGCTTTAAGGACACAGGCTTATCATTGGTTTTCTGTATTTCCTACTTGCTCAATCAATAATCAGTTTGGGAGGCACTCAATCGATAGGACTTTGAAAAACTATATGCATGTGTCTAACAGAGGGCAATCTTGAATGTATTCAGGTTTTTTTTTTTTTTTTTTTTTTAGGCATCTTCAAAAGATTTTTTTTTTTAATGCTTTTGTTGTCAAGAGAAAAGCAGATGAGATAAAACACGAGTAGTTGAGCCTGCAGGTCTGGACACAAAACCAGAGTCCTCAAGTTTAATTTTCCAACAACTAGATACAAATTTGACAATATGTAAAGAGCCTCTCTTCTTTAGAACTCTAATGTGAGGCTGGAGGCAGAAATAAGATGCAGCCTGTGGCTTGCACCACCCCCCCCTCAGGTAGCTTAAGTACTTCAGTTTTATCAGATCTGCTCCAACAAGGCCTGACAAACTGCACCACAGCAGAAGAAGCATCTCTCAGGCGATGATGCGTAAAGACACAGGGATTTTTTAGTCAATTGCAGGAATTAGGATTTAATGCTTTCTACTAAAAGACTTCAGACCTCAGATAGCTGACTGCTATCCACTGAATCTTGGCAGGCAAGGAGACTGCTGGAGCTGAAGCGAGGAAGCCATGTTAAGCAGATTTTCATGAACGTAAGAAATACTTTATTTGTAAAGCTGCTTTTCTTTGTTGCAGTTTAAAATGCTTTTTTCTTCTTCTCCTTTTTTTTTTTAAATCTCTCAGTTTGATCAACTCTCCATCTTTATCAAAATTACTTTCCCCAAATGTCCCTTAAAGAGCCACAGAAGAGAAATAAATGCTCAGGTCATCAAAATAATTTTTTAAAAGAATAATCCTAAACATTATGTCAATTTAAAAGATTAAAAATGATCACAGTCCTTAAAAAGACTACAAAACACACAGAAATACATTAAATACCTTACCATTGTTTGGCAGTTCTAGAGGGCTACAGACACTGTTTTTGGTTCTGCTGTTTGGTGAAGAGATCAGTTTTGCAACGAGAGATGCTGAAATGGGCTGCACCAGCAGGGATGTGAGGTTTGATCGGTTTTGCCTAAAGCTTCCATCTAGATTCAGAAGAGAAGGGAACAGAATCCTTAGCAAACAGAAATTAAAAACACACAAAGAGAAGTTTTTTGTAATAATTATTCAAAATATGAACCATATATTTATTTTAGTTCATTTGTTTATTCCTTAGTTTTACTCTACTTATTAAAAATGATTTGAGGCACATCAGTCCAAATACTATTATGTATCCAAGTTAATGCTGGCAGATTATGCACATGCATTTACCTCCATTCTCCCATATGACCAGGTCACTGGAGACTATATGAAAATACTGAAAATCTGCCAGTCCACCAATAAAACAACTCACCAAAGACAGCTTATGTTAAAACCCATCAGTCAATAAGCCCATCCATATACAGAACTTCAAATCAACTCAACTTTGCCATCATTAAGTAGGCGTGGTCATCCAAGGACAATCTTAAAATGGTACATGTGCTGGTGAGCTCATGAGGACAAGAGTGAGGAGGTCAGGAGGCTCAAGAACGGAGGTCTCCAGGAAGACAAAAATAATGGAAAAACCACATGTGTGCCACTGTACTGAGAGAATATTTACAATAGAGATCAGAGAGCATCTGAGGATCGTCTAAGTACACAGAAAGATAAGAAATGTAAAAATTAGACAATCTTTAGCTTCAAAGGGAACAAAAGTTGTTCAGGAAGGAAATGTAATCATAGTACAATGAGAATAATATTTATATAGTCAAAATGATATAAATAATGGCTATTTAACACACAAAAAATTGGACATTTCTTTGGAAAAAAAATAAAAGGGCAACAGTCATGGGTGAGGACTCATGGAGACTTGTGAAAGCAAACTAAATCTTTATCTTCCATAGTGGCAATAGATAAAACTGAAAAATTAATTCAACTCTTAAACATGCTTTTGAGACACAGAGAGGTAAATATAAAATGCAGAGAACAACTAAAAATACTGAAAGCAATTAAGTATTTGCCTTTGGGAGAGAGGTGGGGCAGAAAACATAGGGAAGGAGAGGAGAAGATGATATTTTTGTAAACTAACTTTGGTAGAATTATTTGAATGCAGTCATCTATAACTTTGAGAAAAAACGAAAATTAAATAAAAAATAAGGAGAGAAGATTATGGTAACACAAGTAGAAGCAAAATACACAAGTACTCAGAGTAAAAAGAATGAAGTGAATAAATTAAACCGTGCTTAAGAACTAAAAGATATGTCTTCAGTTTATATATTTATACTGACTCAGGGTGGAAATACACAATGGAATGACTCTATCAAGTCACCAGAATGTCTCTGAACACAGAGCTTTATTTTTCAGAACTTTTATTAGGGAAAATGATTGCCAAAGGTTTTCTCAGAATTTAATTTGATAGGACTGCAGGGGGTGCAGAGCTCAACCACACAGGTATCCAGGCTGCAGGAGGCAGATTATAAATGAGAAAATATGTTACAGAAGTGCTCCCTTAATTTATCATCTGGAAAACCACAAGGCTAAAAAAAATGATATTTAGCTTAGGCCTATGGCAGCCATAGCAGACATGGCTTTGAAGATAAAAAATAAATAAATAAAGATTTAAGCTTCGGATCAGTTTTGTTATGTAAGCACAGTGCTGGTTGCATAATTCAGTAACCCCTTTTATATGGATATATGACAGTGCATTTTGACCATAGTGTATCATTGCTTCCTAGCCATTTTCATGTCTTAGTACTAAGACTGGCTGTATAATTTGCAGGGCCCACAGTAAAATGACAATGTGGGACTTCTTGATCAAAAACCATGAAGAATGTCAAGATGGCAACAGCAGAGCATTAAATCAAGCGTGGGTCTTTCTGAGTGGGGGCCTATGCAACGTTGCAGGTTGCATGCCCGTGATCCAGGCCCCGCAGATGCTAGCAGTCATTTAACCCATTGACAAAAACCGAAGGGGATTTTCATACTCCAAGGAAGCTGCTCTCAGCTTCAGGTGACCAGTTCTAGTCTCTGTTGTTCCAGGCTGCACCTGAGGCCACAGTGCTTAATATCTCAAGGCATAGATGGTGTCCCTCAGCACACCAGCTGGGAAGCCCTGATATAGCCATTTGACTCTGTTTCTTCAGCATGTATTTTCTCCCTCAGTCGTTACCTTCTGGATTTCTAGTGTACACAGGACAATAAAATGATATTTCTGAGAAACGTGCAATCTGTTATTTTGATGTTTTCATGGATATTAGGTGCTGACATATCACCACTACAAAATGAAACTCCCTAAAATGCTACATGATCTCACCACTCCCCAGATCAAATATTGAACTCTTTAGTTTGACATTCAAGGCTCTTCACAATCTCAGACTTTATACTTTGAACATTATTTCCTATCATTCCTCTCGATACATCTTATGCTAACACTTAAGCTGTTCCGACATGTTCTGTGATGTATGACCTGAAGCCGTTCCTTCCACATCGCTTACCCTTCTAATGCATCACACAGGTCTGAAGTATACACTTCCTTTAAAACCCAACTCAAAAGTTACTTTTTTACAAGAAGCTTTCTCTGTCTCCCTGGACCATATGTGACACTTTCTGCACCTTTTTTCTTTCTTTCTTCTTCTTTTTTTTTTTTTTTTTTTTTTTTTTTTGGTAGTGCTTGTCATTTCTAATTAACATTATCATTACATTTTCATACTTATCACTTTTTCACTTTGTTTCTCCTCTTTAAACTCTAAAATCCTTAAAGACAAAAGCAAGTATTCCACATCATTGCACGACATGCAATGCCTAGCACAATGCCAGGAACACAACACAATCAACAGTTCTTTAAAACATAGTTTCAACATCACTATCACTGATTTTCTGAGTGCCCAGAAAATGGTACAAGGGTACGACCAAAGAATAAATTACATTATATTCTATTAATACTATGTTTGCTATACATTTGTTCTTTTTCTCCAGCTAACTAATCTCCCACAGCAGACATCACAAAGACTTTCAAAACCCATCTATCCCCATCAATTTGCTGGTTAACCTTGTTTTAAAATTACCTTTTGAGTGTAAAAAAAAAAAAAAGACTACCATTATAAATAAAACAATCTGAGATGTATTTATCTGTTAATGAAAAATCAGTAACTGCATTCCTTTTTTTCTTTATAATGCTCTATCAGGCATATGAAACAATATATGAGTGCACCTTAAACCCTAACTGAACGTACTCAAATCTTTGATTTGTTTCCTGCATGACTAATAGACTTGCATTAGTTTTGAAATATATGAAGTGGCTCATTAATTTTTTACCTTCAGCTTAATGGAAATTTGACAAACAGTTCACTTCTGAGAGGAGACAGTAAAAACAGGACTTTACAGTATACTAAGATTAAATTATAGACCAATGTTATTTTTTAACTCATTTATTGAAGAGCTGAGAAAAGACTTTTATTGTCTTATATTATTAAGAGGCTTTGAATAAAACCAAATATATGTACCATTTTTATTCATTTACATTTTAAAACACATTTGTGAACTATAAGAATCCACTAGATATGTGTTGAAAATCAGGCAGAATGTGCGCCTTGGTGCGAAGGGCACCATACGGAAAAGATGTTTACATTACCTCTTAGCATTCCAACTTTTAGATTAAAGCGTGGATATTGTGCCCTGTTCACTTTTTATGCTCTATAAAGACTGACGCTAACTTACATTTTAGTGGATAGCGAGTTCTGTCTTCACTTTATGTACTCTTTGTGGTCTATGTAATGATCCAAATCAATCCATGCCATTAATAGCCCAATCTCTAACACAGTGGCACCTGCATATAGTAGAAAGAGGAAACTGGATATACTGAGCCCCCAGTTTGACTTCATTACTGACTCTGTCTGTGAAATGTAACATATAAACAATGCTCATATTGTCATCCCCTCTACTATACCTGAACAACCAAGATGACGCCAAAGGGCATTCATTATGCTGACTTACTGAAACAGAAAGAGTGTATTAGCTCAGAAGCCAAGAGACTGAACCACAGTAGGTGAAACTTACAAGAAATGAGGTTAGAAATAAGTGAAAAGGTTTTCTAATTGAACATATTTAAGGTTTTGCATTATGCTTTTTCAAATTATTGATGCCCACTTCAATCATATCTGGTTGTGTATATAAAGAAAATGTGAACACTGTTATCTGCCCGCACTTTTTTTGTGTGGCAAGATGGAATTCTTTTAAACTCAATTGAAAAAGTGAAAAGAGCAAGTACCAATTACTCAAAGAGTATTAAAAAAACTAAACCTTCAGAAACTAGAAATCTTAGACACTGGGATCCTCAGATTAATGCACCAAGAAGTGAAACAAGGTAAAAACAAATGCTGGTAGATAAAGCAAGAAGTGGTTTGTGTGGATCAGTGAAGATAATGTGCTGCCATTGCAGGGGACAGTACAGTTTCCAAGTTGAGGAATATAACTCAACTCTCAGCACCTGTGTGTGTAAACATACGATCCAAGCTACATGATGACATATGTGTGTGTGTGTCTGTATGTATGTGTGTGTGTGTGTGTGTGTGTGTGTGTGTGTGTGTATAGCAGAGATCCTATAGACTCTTTTTATCCAATGTGTGTAGTCCTTGGACAAGCAGCATGGGCATGATCTAGGAACCCATAGAAATGCAGAGTCTTGGGGACCTGGGTGGCTCAGTCAGTTGAGCATCCAACTTTGGCTCAGGTCGAGATCTCGCAATTTGTGGGTTTGTGCCCAGCATTGGCTCTGTGCTGACAGCCTGAAGCCTGGATCCTGCTTTGGATCCTGTGTCTCCCTCTCCTTCTGCCCCTTCTCTGCTTGCTTTCTCTCTCTCTCTCAAAAATAAATAAACATTAAAAATTAAAAAAAATGCAGACTCTTAAACTCCACCCCAGACCTTCTGAATCTGAATGTGCAGTCTAAGAAGATACCCAGGTGATTCATATGCACATTAGATAACCACTAGTCTAAATCATTTCATATTGTTCCACGGCACAATTTACATAATTTTCACAGCAAAGAAGACATAAAAAGCAGGATAAA